CCCCCCGTCCGAGCATCCAACATAACCCGCCCACACAGAGTTATCTCCGCCGCTGTCGAAAGTGGACTTCGCGCAGCAAGACGAGAGAGGGGGGTACTGTATCTTGTGCCAAATAGTTGGGTAAATGTATTCCTGTCCATGACAAAGACGCGTCTCGCCTGGTGTGATGGGACGGCCGTAATAAATAAATAGCTGGCCGGACCGTTCGGATTATTATTCAGTTTATATCGCCTGTCAAGCAAGAATAAATCATCGCGTAAGTGCATTATACTGTCCCCGTCGTTTTATGCAACAAATATTCTGAAATTATGCACACTGAGCCCAAAATTGTGAAATTATGCGATTCTGTTAAATTTGATAAAAAATGATAAAGGAAAGTAATCAGAAATTATGCAACAAAATGATCGCGTCTGTCTGCAGCAAGGCGAGTGGCCTGTAGGAGGGACATCCCGTGAGTTCTGAGGAGTGTGCTACAGATTCACTCCATCGTTGCCTTGGTCTTCCTCAGCCAGAATATTTAATGTTGTATGCTCTCAGAGCTGGATGGTTTGAGGGCATCCGCGTGAGGTGTCCGAACCACTTGATCTTTTGTTTTTCAATGTATGGTAGGACTGGTGTTGCTCCTACGGTGTCCCTTATGAATTTTTATTTTTATTTTCTCTCTTCATGAAATCATACATAAGCCATTTGAGCAGCCCGTAGGCACAGCGCAGGAACTGGGGCAAAAAAATCACGTTGCATAAGGTCAAAAATCGTACTTAACAAGATTATTATTATTATTATTATTATTAGTAGTAGTAGTAGTAATAGTAGTAGTCGTCATAGTAGTAGTCGTAGTAGTAGTAGTATAAAATAGTATTAACAATATTAACAACAATAATAGTACTAACAGCAATGATAGTAGTAGGCCTATATATGTCATTATTATAATGTTATTAGTAATGATGATGACGATGATGGTGATGATGATGATGATGATGATGATGATGATGATGATGGTGATGATGATGATGATGATGATGATGATGATGACGATGATGATGATGATGATGATTATGGTGATGATACTTGAGGATTTCATCTCTGACTCAAAGGTTGACATGATATGACCCTCCATCCTTCACGGCGGAGAGCTGTCGTTGCACGTTCTGCCATATCCAGGCAAGTGCACGTTCTTATGTTGTCCACCCATGTTATTCTTTGTCTTCCCCTGGCTCTCCTGCCCCACATCTTTCCTTCAAGCACCTCTTTTACAGTGGTCTCGTGTCGTTTTAAGTGACCAAAATATTGTATTTTTCTACATTTTACTTTTTTCAGCAGGGTTTGTCTTGAGTGTAGAATCTGACACTTGTTTGTCTTTTTTGTTTTCCAACTTATTCTGGCCGTTCTACAGTAGCACCACATCTCAAACGCATTTCTTTTGTTTTCTCCCTTCTTTGTCGAAGTGCAGGTCTCTCTGCCATATAGGAACATGGGGAAGATGTAGAATTCCAGCCTTTTCTTTCTTGAAGTGAGGGGTAGTTGCATGGATTTAAATGGTTTGTGCATTTGGCTGAATTTTGTTTTTGCACTAATTGCTGATTTTATGTTTATTTCTTTTTCACTTCTTTCAACCTCTGCGATTGTTGCTACTAGATATTTGAATTGGTGCACTTGTTCAATTCTCTCCCCATCTATGGTTATGTCTGTTGTTTTTCCTAAAGATTTTGATAAGACGTTGTTTTTGTTATTCTGGCATTCATATCGAGGCCTTTGTATTGCTGCTGTTCACTTTTTTTCACTACCACACTTTAGTTGCTGCCTTTTGCTGCCAGTTGAGATTTCCTATGATTGTTATATATATATATATATATATATATATATATATATATCTTTGCCATTAATACTTACTGCAAAGAAAAGTAACGCACTCATAAACTTCCTCCAGGAGACAGTAGAGAAAGCCAGTCACTGGATCTGGTTGAAGCGAGAGGACGCAGACTGGAATGAATCCTAAGAGTTGGCAGCAGAGGAAAACAGTCGAAACAACATGGAGACCTCACTTTGGTGAGGGGTTTAGGTGCGTCAGAAAAGCTGTGTAGAGAGGAAGAGCCCGAAACAGCGACGCATTCTCTCCTGATAATCTCCATGCTAGAGTCCAGGATACGGAGCGTTCGGCTGTGAGCAGCGCATCCTCAGCGGGGGCTTTTCATTCTGGGGTGTTTTTAATTGCGAGCTCTGCCTCTGATTTAGAAAGTTGGGACCATTGTTGTTACTTGGATTTTAAAAAAATAATTAAGAAAGTAAATTTAAAAAACGAATAATTTAAAAAAATGATGCTAAAAATAATAATAGTAATAATAATAATAATAATAATAATAATAATAATAATAATAATAATAATAATAATAATAATAATAATAGTAACAATAATAACAATAATAAAAATAATAATAATGATGATGATGATGATGATGATGATGATGCTGATGATGATGATGATGATGATGATGATGATGATGATGATGATGATGATGATGATAATAGTAACAGTATAGGGCATAATAATAATAGCCATTATCATCATCATCATACTACTACTACTACTACTACTACTACTACTACTACTACTACTACTACTACTACTACTACTACTACTACTACTACTACTACTACTACTACTAATGAATATGATACTACTACTACTACTACTACTACTACTACTACTACTACTACTACTACTACTACTACTACTACTACTACTAATGATGATACTGTTACTACTACTACTACTACTACTACTACTACTACTACTACTACTACTACTACTACTACTACTACTACTACTACTACTGCTAATAATGATGATTATAAAATAATAATAATAATAATAATAATAATAATAAAGGTTATCTATACCCCGTGCTCAGAGTTCACGCTAAGCGAGTGTCAGCAGCATAGGAACATTAGTTGTTTGAGATCTAAAATAAACAAACTTTAATCATAAGAGTACTCGAGCAAGGTTGCACGCTGACACGCTTTTTTTTTCTTTCTTTCTTTTAATAGCATTCTCGCTCCATGGATCCAACGTTCCTAGCCAGACGGAGGTAAAGTGCAAACTTTGATATACATTCTGAACTGAAATGCGTGCTTTAGTCTAGATCTAGATCTAGACTCTTAACGAAATAACGGGACGTAGTCTAGACGGTCATATAATCGCCTAGGACGTAGTCCAAGCCATTTGAGCAGCCCGTAGGCACAGCGCAGGAACTGGGGCAAAAAAATCACGTTGCATAAGGTCAAAAATCGTACTTAACAAGATAGCCTAGTTCACTCACTCAGCCAAAAAAGTGTCCGCGAAGTCTGCACATTGGTTCAGATGGCGCTGCAGTCTTTGTTTTGAAGCTCTCTTTCGTTTCTCCAGAAGAAGAATCGGAATAGCACAATTTGTTAGTTTCGCTTTTATTGTTTTTCACACAAGTAGGGTAACTCTGATCGCATTTGGAATACTTAAAGTCAATTAGTAACTTACAGTGTTAAAAAAGGGGCATTATAATAACCGCTACTTAGAGCATAACTTATTTTCTTTTTCGTATTTATCTTCTTTTCCTTTAATCACCCCCCCCACCCACACTTTCCTCCTCTTTTTTCCTTCCACCGGTAGGAGAGGGGATGAAGAGATGTTCTGTTTTCTGACAAACAATTGACACAACTCCCTTCTTCAGTCAAAAGCCATGACTGCTTTTGCGTGAAAACAAACCATTTAAAATTAAATAAACCTAATGTTCCGTCTATCATTCTTTCGAACAAATGTGTCAACCAAACGTCTCTAACATTTTCTTCTTTCACATTCATTCCTGCTCTCTAACAATGTTCTGTCGTTTGCTTTCTTCTCCACTTTCTGCCCCCACTCCTTTACATCACCTCTTTTGCCCCCCCCCCCTCTTCCGGGTTCATGACTCTTTCAGCAGCCTTTCTATACGTTACTCATTGGCTCTTTCTTACTGCTGTCTTTCAACAACACCTCTGATCTTATGGCAGGAAAGGTATGAGAAATGAGAAGGCCAAGATCTACACCTAGCCTTCTCGGATGAGGAAGAAAATTTTTTGAGGTGCCGTGTGCAAGTTGCGCACGTTAAAGATCCATTGGCGGTCCAAAATCGATAAGAGTGGGCTTCAGCCGCCAAAGGGAGAAAATTCAAAATTTCCTACCAACCGAAAATGTTTAGTGTGTCCCGCGCGCTCATATGACCTTATGCAATTGCGAACGCCGTTAAATACTTACCACCCCCCCCCACCCAAAAAAGATAAATAAATTAAAAAAACCAAAAAAAAACCCAAACAAAAAAACAACAAAAAACAAAACAAAACAACAAACAAAGCAAAACAAAAACAAAACAAAACACCACCACCACCAACAAAACCTCTGCCTACTCTGGCGACCCATTTGAATGCTTTTCTATAAGCAACAAAGCAACAAGGCGTTAGCTTTTTACAGACCCCC